TAGCCCTTGCCCTCATGGAATGTTCAGTATAGAAAAGCCAAACAAAATCAAGTTCACAGACACAAAATAATTCCAAGTTACATATCAGAATGGTAAAGCAAAGAAACAAGGGAAAGTTAGATGGCAAAGGGGAGGAGAGAAGTATTTGTTGGGAGGGGTAACAGGTAAGCCAAGGCCTCAAGGATGAACAGCAAGCCTTCTATTACCAGTTCTCTGCAATTGTTTTAAGAAAACTGGAGTGATATTTTAGCCCCAAGTCACTTAGGAAGGTCTTGAATCTTCCTCCTGCTATCAGCATGAAAGTGGGGAAGGCCACTCAGGTTTTGTTTTTTACTGCTTTATTGAGATACAATTCACAAGCCATGCAATTCACCATTTTCAAGTGTACAATTCAATGACTTCTAGTCTATTCCCCCAGCCCATTTTGAACTTTGTCATCATCCTTAAAAGAAACCCCGAACCCATTAGAGCAAGCCCCTGTATTCTCCCTCCCCTGGGGGACAGCCTTCAATGCAGCCTCTATAGAGTTGCCCATCCTGGAAAGTCCCCATAAATGGAACGAGACTGGAGGCATGACTGGTTTTTCACTCAGCTGGCCGCTTCTGAGGTTCCTCTATATCAGCGTGTATCAGTGCATCCCTCCTCCGTTTTCTAGAGAACACTATAGACATAGGCAGGCCATGTTTTGTTTATGCCTCCATCGGTGGGTGGATATTTTAATCCTTTCCTCTAGGGCTAGTATGAATAGTGCTGCTGAGAACATCCATATCCAAGTTTCCACAAGGAACCAGGTTTCCATTTTTCCTGAGTATACGAGGGGGTACCCAAATAAATCCGGAGTTGTGCTGGACAGAGCAGAGCCTTCATAATACACATTTTTCCCACTAGGTGAGCAACTCACTCTGTTAGTGCACCCAGTGGCATCATCTGGGAATTCTCTCTGGTCACAGTGAATTCTTTTGAGTTTTACTCAAACCTCGTTTTTTTTTGTGATGGCCAATTTAAGAGAACAGCATGCAGCTGTGAAATTTTGTTTCCTGCTTGGGAAAAATGCCGCAGAAACTGTTGTGATGTTGAACACAGCTTACAAGGACAGCACTATGGGAAAAACTCAAGTATACAAGTGGTGTTCTCATTTCAAAAGAGGTGAAATGTCTGGGGAAAGAAAGTACCACCCTACATGTTGATACCATATATTCCCTGATTCTGTGAATAAATTTGTGAAAGTGCATGTATGCCTCCTTTAAAAAAAAAAAAAAGAGGTGAAATGTCAATTGATGACAAATCTCATTCTGGATGTCCTTCAACTTTCCGAACAGACGGAAATGCAAACTTTCTATTTAGAGGTTCTGAAAAGATTGTGTCCAGTGTGTGACCAAAAAAGGCCTTATTTGTGGCAGACAGGGGACTGGTTTTGCCACTTGAACCTACTCATGCAGCCATCTTCAGTGCACCAGTTTTGGGCAAAAAACAGCATGCTTCTCTTGCCCCACATGCCTTACTCACCTGACCTCACTCTGTGTGACTTCTTTTGTTTCCTCAAATGAAGAGGGACATGAAAGGACAGAAATTTGATGATGTAGAAAAGGCAAAGAAAAAAATGAGGGAGGTGCCATCAGCCATTCAAACAGATGAGTTTGAAAAATGTTTCAATGCCGGGGGTTTAAGTGGAGAGAAAATGTTTTGAGAATGATGAGGGCAATGAATGTACAAATGCTCTTTACACAATTGATGTGTGTATGGATTGTGATAAGAGTTGTATGACCCCCTAATAAAATGATTTAAAAAAAGAAAAAAAGAAGAAAAATGTTTCAAAGAATGGAACAGCAAATTTGACCGATGTATTAAGTGTAATGGAGAATACTTTGAAGGTGATAAGGTGGTTTTGTAAAAAAAATAAAAATAAATACATAGCTTTGGGAAAAAATTCCAGGTTTTGTTTGTATCCCCTACCCCCCTACACCTGAAATTGCTAGGTCAAGCAGTGACGTTCTGCTGAATGTTTTGAGCAACTACTAATCGGTTTTCCAAATTACTACAGCAGCCCTTTACACTACCACCAGCAGTGTAGGCATGTTCCAGTTTCTTCAGCACCTCACCAAAATTTGTTACCGTCTGGCCATTCTAGTGGATGTAATGTGGTGCCAAGCTGCCATCTGACCTTAGTTCCCCATAGGCTACCATAGGCTGAGGCACAATAAAGAGGGCTCTCAGCCTTTGGACCTCCAAGACCACCATGTAGATCCTCTTCTGGGGTCCTTTTCATTTTCAGCCCAGGTCGTCGGGAGAGCTGTGGATGATGGAATGACATCAGGGAACCAGGCTGTTTAATGCTGCTGTAATGCTCACAGAAAAGCTGGCAGGATCTTGGGAGGATGGGCCTGGGTGACCCAAGGACAAAGGATAAGGCAGATGACCTCTCCAGACTGCACTTCCACCCCTCCATGCCATCCTACCCCCAACTCTGATGAGTCCAAAGCCTTTTAACCAAAAGGCCTGCTTTCACCCACTTTTTCCTCCTAAGGGTCATACCCCAACTCAAGTCAATTCAGCCTCCTGGCCTTCTACATATAGAGGTGGGGAACAGAGCTGGGGGAGTCCTGGGTATGCTCCCCCAGGGTGGGGAGGGGAGAAAAGGGGCTTGGACAGCTTCCGAGAGAAATACCTCCACAACTCTGTATTTCCTTCTCTCCATCAAAATGGAAGCTCCATGAGGGCAGAGCTGCCCAGTAGCAGAGCTATAAACGTTTGATGACAAAGGAACTAACAGTGTTTGTTAGGCAATAAAATCTCCCCCTGCCCCCAGACATGCATTGGAATCCTAACCTCTACACCTGTGGCTGAAATCCTATTTGGAAATTAGGTTTTCTTTGTAGTGTTAATAAGGTTTCATCAGTGCACACGGTGCGAATTCTAATTGTTGCTGAGTAATGTAAACCAAACCCCAAACTCAAACCTGTGGAGTCATCCAACTCACAGCCACCCTACAGGATAGAGAACTACCCCATAGGGTTTCCAAGGCTGTCAACATCACAGGAGCAGATACCACGACCCCCCTCTCCCCCCCCACCCCCAAAGAGCTGCTGGGGGGTTTGAAGACCCAAGCTTGCCACCCTACAGGATAGAGAACTACCCCATAGGGTTTCCAAGGCTGTCAACATCACAGGAGCAGATACCACGACCCCCCTCTCCACCCCCCCCACCCCCAAAGAGCTGCTGGGGGGTTTGAAGGCCCAAGCTTCACGTTACCAGCCTAGCAAATCTCCTCAAGTGATCCAAGGAGCAAAATCAACACAGTCAGGCAAGATGACCTGGGATAGACAGACACTCCCTGAGGCAGCCCAGGAGCTCTGAGGATGGCTGATCACTAGAAGCTGACAGATACCAGAAAGGACCCCTCCTACTGCCAATGGCCTGAATTCGTACCTCTGGCCTTATAAATTTGGTAACAGATGTTCTTGCGGCATTTCTGTCACAGCAGCACTAAGACACAGAGACAAGTAGAGAAGAAGTGAAGGAAGAGAACTGAGTTGGGAGTGGGGTCGGGCAGTGCGGGACACAGATAGAAAGCAAATACATGATGACCAACTAGGTCTAGAGTCAACCTGGGCCTGAAGTCCACCGCTACCACTTCACAGCTGTATGCTCTTGGGGACTGCTTTCAAAAAGCTCACTGCCATCAAGTCAATTCCAATTCACAGCAACCTTAGAAGACAAAATAAAACTGCCCTGCGGGTTTCTGATACTGTCTTATCTTTATGGGAGCAGACAGCCTTGTCTTTCTCCCATAGAACAGTTGGGAGTTTCAAACTGCTGACCTTGCAATTAGCAGCCCAACACAAAGCCCACTGTGCCACCAGTGCTCCCTTTGGGAACTGCAGTGGGAAGGGAGGGGATTGATTACATGATATGGTTCTTCTAGTCATTGTCCTTGTGATTCCTTCCAGATGACTGGTTGGGGCTGTGTAAGTGTGAAGTCCACCAAGGGGACTACATTGCTTGTTAATGGTGAAAATAAGGTGCATGGCACCCTTAAGGTAGAATCATGCAAATATAGTATTCAACTTGCTGCCATTGAGTTGATTCTGACTCACAGGACCCTACAAGACAGGCCAGAGGTTCTGAGCCTCTGTTTTAGGAGGAGTAGAAAATCTAGGGCATTAGAACAGACTCCAAGGGCAGAGGGCAGGAAAATGAGATAGGGAGAATGGTTGTATTTGAGGAAGGAATAAACAGTTTCTGGCAGGCAAGCCTGGCTATACAGAAAACAAAACAACCAACCAGTTGTTGTGAAGTCATCTCTACTCACAGCTATCCCAAATGTAGTTTTCATTGGTTTATTCTTTTTTAAAGTTGATCACCAAGCCTTTCTTCCAAAGAACCTCTGAGTGGACACAAACTTCCAACCTTTTAGTTAGCACATGAGTGCATTAACTGTGTAGTCTACCCAGAGACTGTCTGGCTACTCAGACCAGGCCCCTTAAATATGACTCTCATTCCTCATCAGGCTGTGAGTTCCAAAAAGGCCCCAAAGAGAACACAAACAGCTAGAATGGGAGGCCACTTCCTCTCAAACCAGTCTATTTTGAAGAACTCCAGCAGGTCAACTTAGCAAGCCCCTGAAACACAGGCCTGGTGTGCAGAGGCCGGTGGGCCAGGTGTCAAGGTTGGTGGACTCTTCTAAATGGAGGCTGTATGTAGGGGGGGGCGGGGGAGAGGGGAGGTCCCTGGTGGAGACCCAGAGGGACTTAGGAGCTAACAGAACCACCATACAAAGATGAACTTGCTGTCTGAGGACCAGGTGAGAAGGGGACTCTAGCAGAATTGCTGGTAGGACTAATTCAGACAAGGGAAGACTGGCTGACAGACTGCCTGGCTGTGGAGGACCTGGGAAGGGCCATCACATATTCTGAACAGGGGAGGGCTCAGCTGCTGTGGACAGTGTTCCAACAGAGTTAGGAATGTGTTTAAATTCAGTCACAGAAGACAATTACACACACCAGGATGTCTTCCTCAGGCGGCAGTGGCTGGAAGGCTCACGAAGGGGTTCCTCCTTGCGGCTGCCTGGCTGGGAGGTCCAGGATAGTGGTTGTTAGTGGGTCATATGGTCAGGAATGCAGAGCCCTGGGAGCCGACCCAGACTTGCTAATTCGGTACGGAGTTTGAGCACCGGACTGGACTGAAGACTGCTTATAGCCTAGAGGGGCCAATTCAATAAACAGCAATGCATTGATGGTGACTGGCTGCCTTAAGTCGGGCACACAGAGGTGACCCAGAGCGAACCAACATCTCATCTCTGGCATTCTACCCACATAAGGAGCCCCATGACTTCAACCCCCGCACCCTGAGCACCACCCTCCTCCCCACAGCCTACCTAGTCAGGGGCTGAAGCTCCAGCTGCTCCCTCTGAGTTCAAAGCCAAGGGTGTGTGGATGGACCCTTGGGCTACTTAGTCAGGAGCTCCAAGTTCAAGGGCACATGGGCTCCAGATGCCACAAGCTAGGATGCCACAGCCACCCACCTGCTCTGTCCCCACAGCATCTACTGTTCTAATTCTATCAGTCCCACCCTGAGAAGGAACCCAGTGATATGTGACAGATGCAAAGACATGGGGATAAGGCCCAGGGACTGTGTGGCTGAAAAGAGAGAACAGCAGAAGGTGTCTTCCAGCCCCTCTGGGCATCATCCCCTCTACCATCCCAAAGTTCCTGTTTGTGTGTGTGTTTGGGGGAGGGGTGTCTCTGAATAAGGAATACATTTCAGGAAGCAAGTTTAGCCAAATACAGTTCTTCACTTCTGCTTGGGTGAGTCCAACAGAGCCCTGATGGTACTGCTGGGTAAGCATTGGACAAGCAACCACAAGAATGGAGGTTCAAACCCACTTGTCATTCTGGGGTCAAAATTGAGGCTGCATGCTCTTGTAAAGATGTAGCCTTGGAAATCTTGAGTAGGTTCACTAGGAGTCAGAATCGACTTGATGGCACTGTTTAGTTTGGTTTTTGGAGGGTGGGTCCAAGGGGTCCTGGTAGTACATGTGGGATAAGCACTGGGCTACTAACCAAAAGGCTAGTGGTTTGGTCCCTTCAGCAGCCCTGAGGGGAAACACATAGCAGTCAGCGTCTGTAAAGATTTACAGCCTCAGAAACTCTCCAGAGCAGCTTTTCTCTGTCCTCCAGGGTCGTTGTAAGTCACTCAGTTTGGGCGAGTCCATTTGAGGGACAGGAGCTGAGTACTCAATCAGTAAAGTGAAGCTCTTTTGGATCCTGTACCACCAGTACTTTAGACTGGCTGTACCTAAGAACTGCCTATCGGGGCCTTATTTCAGGTCTCATCCTCAAGGCCACACCTGGAAGCTGGGCCAGATTAGGGAAGAGGGTGAATTCTAGAAGCAGAGAAGCCACAGCATAGTAAACAGAGCTTTAGGTGGCAGTCGGATGCCCAGTGCAGAGCAGGCTGGGCTGTCTGTTCCTACTTCCATTTCACTGGGCTCCCTGAGAAGTGGGTCGATTTTCCTCCTTCTGCACTCACTGCCTGGTTGCCTTGCTTCTGTTCCTGCTCATCCTCCTCAGCTCCTGCCCTCCAAGACCTGATTTAAACCAACTCCCAAGGCTGGAGAGGTGACAAGCAATTCCCAACAACAAAAAAGGTCTCCCGGGAGAAGACATACTGGAGAAGGTTCCAGCCTCAGTAGGCTGATTCCTGGGCACTGACTTCGGCTTAGCTGCAGGGCCCAAATTGTTGAGCGTGCACTCCAGCTGCCTGGTTTTGCAGCAGTAGGCAGCAAAGAGAGCTGTGCCGCCCCCGCCTTCGTGTTAGACACACAAGACAGAGCTCTCACTGCCTGCCCTCCAACTCCTGGAACTTTGAAGGAAACTGAAGCACAGAGTGGAGGGGCCTAACTTGCTCAGATCACCAGCAGTCTGCAGAAGGAAGCTGGCTCTTCTCTCCTGGGTTGGCTGCAGGCAATAAGGTCAGTGTGAGCTTGAGCAAGTGAGTTATCCTTCCTGGGACTGATTGCCTCCAAGATAACAGGAGTGTCCACCTTCCCTGCCCAAGGGCTGGCTGAGGTTGGGAGAGCTGGCAGGCATCAAGAATTTACAGATGCCTGGTGCCTGGCTCAGAGCCATGAGCCACCATCACACTGCTGTTCAATACAGTTGAGTTGGTGTCCACCTCATAGAAACCCTACATGACACAGCGCAATTGCCTATCAGAGGGTTTCCAAGGCTGTCACTTGTCCAAAGCAGGTCACCAGGGATTGAGGCAGGAGGTTTCAATCACCAACCTTTCCATTAGCAGCTGGGGATTTGAACCACCGTGCCACCAAGACTCCTTGAGCCAGGTCAACCCAAGACCATTGTTGTCATTCAAGGCAATCATGTAGGTTATGATTCATAGCAACCCTACGATGGAGTAGAACTACTTAATAGGTAGTAGAAGGGCAGGGGAGGAAAAAAAAGGGGAAGTCCCTTAACAAGGTGGATGCCACAAAAGGTTCCAACAGAATGGTCATTGTAAAGGATGGTGCAGGACCAGGCAGTATTTCCTTCAGTGGTGCTTGGGGTCACTATGGGGTAGCTCGCACTCAAGGGCATCTGACAGCAACAACCTAGGGTTTCCTAGGCTGTGATCTTTATGGAAGAGCCCAGGTGGTTTAGTGGGTTATCTGCTGGGCTGCTAACCACAAGGTCAGCAGTTCAAAATCACCACCAGCCACCCCTCAGGGAAAAGATGCGGCTCTCTACTCCCTTAAAGAGTTAGAGTCTTGGAAACCCCAGAGGGGCAGTTCTACCCTGTCCTGTTGGATCACGATAAGTCTGAGTTGAACTCAATAGCCAGGAGTTTTAACATCTTTACGGAAGCAAGTCACCAGTGTTCCTACTGACCACAGAGCCATTAGATGGGTTCCATTCACTTTTTATGCCCTTCACTCTTGCCACACCAGCCTCAACTCCCTGCTGTTCCGTCTGGAGTGTTCTTTCTGGAATGTTCTTCTCTTAGTTCCTCACATGGTTTGCTCCTTCACGTCCCTCAAATGTGGACTCAAAGGTCACCCTTTCTGTGACAGCCCCCAACCCCAGTCACCAACCTCTTCTAGTACCTTCCATGCTCTGCGTTCCCGCCTTGGGACCGGCCCCCACCTGTCACCGGGCTAGTTGGCACGTGAGCTGAGGGAGACTAGCCCTCGCTGGAAGCCCGCAGGCTCGGGGCCGCGGGGACTCGCGGGGGCCGACGGCCGAGACACACAGGGCAGCCCTACCTGAGCCGGGGCCGCGGGCGCCTCCCTCAGGGCGGCTCGGGCGCACGGCCGCCGAGGTCACGTCCGGGGCGCGCAGGCCGGAAGAAACCCCGCGCCGCGCCGAGAGGCGGAGCGTCCTCGGCCACGCCACGCCCCCGGCCGGGAGCCAGAGGCGGAGGCGGAGTTGGAGGAGCTGGTGCCGCCCCGCACTTCCGCTCCGTTCCTCCCCACGCCCACCGCTCATTCATATTCATGAGGCGGCCGAGGGGCGGAGCCCTGGCCTGCCGGGGCGCCCCGCCCCGGCGGAGCCTCAGGCCCCAGAGGGGCGCCCCCGGCTTCCGCCTCGGGGAGGGAGTTTCCACTTGGTCACGACTCAAAAATGTCTCGCTCCGGCTCCTCCGCCCCTTTGCCCCTGCCCTGGGGGCCTCCCCTCCCAGGAGAGACGTGAGGAGCGAGGTCAGGGGAGGGCCGGCCCCTCCTTCAGACCCAGGACGGCGGCCAGACCCCTCCAGTCTTGAAATTAGCGCTTCTCATTAGCATTCTTTAAAAGCATAATCTTTTTCCAATTGAGCCATCTTTCTGTGCCTGGTCTTGTGTCCTTTATAGGAGCCACCTCTTTTAACCATTCAATATTCCCCCTGAGATTGCTATGCCATCACTCCTGTTTTTCTTCGCTGGAGTCCATTCGGACTCCTGCTGACCACGGACTGACGCTGAAGGACAGAGTAGAACTGCCTTGCAGGGTTTCCTAGGCTGCCACGTTAATGAAAGCAGGCTGCGTTATCTTTCTCTCATGAAGCAGCTGCTGGTTTTGAATCGCCAACCTTTCGGTTACAGGCTGAGCGCTTAACCAATGCGCCACGTAGCGTCCTATGAACCAGAATTGGCCTAAGAAATGGGATCCCCCTACTTAGTAGTCTAGAAATGCCCATGATCACATAGCAAAGTGACAGTGATCAAGACTTGAACCCAGCACTGAAACTGACTCTGGTTTTCCTGGAAACTTGACCCCGTTGGACTGGGGAGGGCCAGGAGCTGTCTCCCCACCCGGGCCCCACTTTCAGGGAATAGAGTCTATTTAAGGGGCTTGGCTGAGGGAGGAGCCCTGGTAGGGTAGCAGTTACCAGTTGGGCTGTGATCTGCAAGGCCAACAGTTCATTGCAAGTTCGAAACCACCAACCACCCCTTGGGAGAAAGATGGGGCTTTCTACTCCTATAAAGAGTCTTGGAAACTCGCAGGGCAGTCCTTCTCTGTCCTACTGGTTGAGGGGTGGGTTTGAACCCCCGGATGTTTGAGAAAAGCTGTGTATTGGGGAAAGCAGTGGTTCCCAACCTGTGGGTCTCAACCCTTTTGGGGATCTAACGACCCTTTCACAGGGGTTGCCTAATATATCCTGCATATCAGATATTTACATGACGATTCATAACAATAGCAAAATTACAGTTATGAAGTAGCAACAAAAATAATTTTATGGGCGACTTTCTCTCTCTCTCTTCCGGTCCCTGGCGCTCTGAGAGTTGAGACGTCGGTGCAGACATGGCCAAGTCCAAGAACCACACCACACACAACCAATCCCGGAAATGGCACAGAAACAGCATCAAAAAAACCCGGTCACAACGATACGAATCTCTTAAGCGGGTGGACCCCAAGTTCCTGCGGAACATGCGCGTCGCCAAGAAGCACAACAAAAAAGGCCTGAAGAAAATGCAGACCAACAATGCCAAGGCTGCGGCTGCTCGCGCTGAGGCCATCAAGGATCTTGTGAAGCCCACAGAGGTCAAAGGCCAAGATCCCAATGGGCATCAACCGCAAGCTCAGCCGACTGGCCTACATCGCCCACCCCAAGCTTGGCAAGCGGGCTCGGGCACGTATTGCCAAGGGTCTGAGGCTCTGCCGGCCCAAGGCCAAGGCACAAAGCAAGGCTGACGCTCCAGCCAAGGCCACGACTCCAGCGAAAGCTCCCAAAGGTGCCCCGGCCCCAGCTCAAGCTCCCAAAGGTGCCCCGGCCCCAGCTCAAGCTCCCAAAGGCGCCCAGGCCCCCACAAAGTAGAGTTCTCTGTGTGAGGGCAAGAGGGACTGGTGTGAGCCTGGGCTGCAGCGTGCATGGCGCTGGTGTCTTCTTGTGCTGTTGGTTGTACAAATAAACCCAGGCGGCGCTGTTAAAAAAATAAAAAAAAAGTAATTTTATGGTTGGGGGTCACCACAACATGAGGAACTGTATTAAAGGGTCACGGCTTTAGGAAGGTTGAGAACCACTGCCTTAGAGAAACTCACAGGCGACAGTTCCACTTTGCTGTAGTATAGAGTTGCTAGGCGTCAGATGGGAGTGAGTTTGGTTTGGATTTGGGGGGAAACCAATGCACAGAGGCAGGATTCGCTACAGGATTTTTGTCGCCCAGTGCACAATGAAGACACAAAGCCTCTTGTTCAACATCTATTAAGAATGTCAAGAGTGACCTTCACTCACTGCCATGCGTCCACTCCAACTCATAGTGACCGTATAGGGCAGAAGTCCCTGTGGACTTCTGAGACTGTAACTCTTTCTAACTGCTGACCTTGCAGGTAGCAACCCAACAAGTAACCACTGTGTCACCGAGGCGCCCGCACCCAGTTCAGGGTCCTTGTGTAAGTGATGAATCCAGCCCTGATGGAGGAGGCTCTCCCAAGAGGCAGAGTTTTCATCCATCATGGAGACCCCGACCCCGGCTTTTGATGCAACCTCACACTGAGATTCTTACCCCCAGCCTGCCATCCAGGGCCCAGCCTCCAAACCTTCCAGACCTGGAAAATTTGCCTTTCTGGGCCTCCAGACAAGTTTCCTGGAGGTCAGGTGAGTCCCCAGACAGGGTTGGTCCCAAAGTTGAACCAAGCCTGCTGGGCCCTTAAGGCTATGCCTCTCTCTTCTGAGGACTCTCAGCCCTGGACCTGCGCTCACAGGTGGCGTTGGGCTGTCCACACCAGCCCAGCACTGCGGCCCTCCTTGCTTGCTGGAGCAGGGCATGAAGAGCAGCCAGGCTGTTTCCCAGAATAAACACCCCGCCCAGACACAGCCCCAATCCTGCAGCACAGCAGACCAGCGCCAACAGGGAGAGGCACTCCCCAGGCCGCCAGCACAAGGTTAATAAGTCACCCTGACCTCACTGCCTCCATCTCTCCTTCCTTGTGTCTGGGCCCAGCGCACAGTGGGATGCAGGCTTTATTAATAACAATAATCAGGACCATTTGTGCCTCTCTTCCTCTCCACTGCCCGAGGGAGGTTCTTTGTGTGCCCCATCTACAGCGCTTCAGGCAGCTGGCTATAAACACTGGAGATTTGTCATTTCCCAGACAGGGAACCTGAGGTTCTGATGTCTTGGTCAAAGCCAAGGGCTTGAGTTTAGGGCCTGGCCACCATTCATCCATCCTGCTCCCCTTCATCGGTTCTACGTCTTGCAATCTGGGTCTTGAGGTTCACTTTGTTATGTGACTTTGTAGGGTTCATTCTGAACTCCAAGAAACAAATCCAGTGACACTCATCCATGTACAAGAAAGAGGTTCATACCAAGAAGCATCTTTACATCAAGAAGGAGCCCAGCCCAGGTCAACTCAAGCCCGTGGGTCCAAGGCTCACCAGGTCCTCTCCATATTCACATCGGTGCAGGTCTGATGACACCGAAAGGTGAAGCGGGAAGCAGGGAGATCACAGACCGGTAGGTGAGGAATCACGTGGATCCAAGGTCGGTGGAAGTGCAGCAGGATGCTGGCAGCTCTCAAGGACAGGCAGGCAGCCCACGTGGGGCCACCTCTCCTGGCAGACACTCAAAAAACCCTCAAACTCACTCCTATCGAGTCAATGCTGATTCATAGTGACCCCCTGTGGGTTTCTGAACCTCTTCTTTTTTTGGGGGGGGGGTGTTAATATGCCTTTTATTTAGCTTTGTCATATACATTTCTTTTTTTTTTTCCTTTTTAACATTTTTTTAGGGGCTCATATAACTGTTATCCCAATCCATACACACATCAATTGTGTAAAGCGCATTTGTACATCGTTTCTCAAAACATTTTCTCTCCATTTAA